TGTGTGTGTGTGTGTGTGTGTGTGTGTGTGTGTGTGTGTGTCTGTGTGTGTGTCCTGTGTGTGTCTGTGTGTCTCTCTCTGTGTATGTGTCCTGTGTGTGTATGTGTGTATGTGTCTGTGTGTATGTGTATGTGTCTGTGTGTGTATGTCCTGTGTGTGTGTGTCTGTGTGTCTTTCTCTGTGTGTTTCTGTGTGTGTGTCCTGTGTGTGTATCTGTGTATGTGTGTGTCTCTGTTTCTGTGTGTCTGTGTCTGTGTGTATGTGTGTGTCTGTGTATGTGCGTGCATGTATGTGTATGTGTGTCTCTGTGTCTGTCTGTGTGTGTAGCCTTAGCTTTCTGAGCACTGAGATTCCCGATGTTAGGCACTGTATCTGGTTCTGCTGTGTAAATATATTGAAATGCTATTGGTGTAATGTGATTCTGAAATGCTACTGGTCTCATTTTATTCTGAGAAGCCATTGCCCCATTTTATTATGATTTTTAAGTGAAGAACAGAGCTGGCAATCGAGTCTCCTTTGCACACTTATCTGTTGTTTCGTCCCACGAAGTACACTAACGATGCCTAGCAGTTGTGGAGTGCTTTGAGGGTGATAAAATTGCTTTCCCACGTGTTTATTATCAGCTAGTATTGACCCTGATTGCATATTTTCTTCATTTAAGAAAGATTTTTAAAACAGGCATATTTAATGATGGAATTCTAATCATTTTCTGTTTTTAATTGCTTGAAACATGTTTGTGAATCCCATGTATTCAGATTTCCTGTTGTTACAGGAAACTCAAAAATTTTATGTCACACACATTGGTATACTTGTTGTAATTCTAGCACTGAGGAGGCTGAGGCAGGAAGATTTTTGTGAGTTCAAGGCCAGCCTAGGCAACAAAGAAAGACTCTGCTTTACTGCCCCATCATTAATTAATGAACTTGTTAATGCTGATTTTATTACTTTATACAATTACCTCTCTTTGTGTTTCTAAGGGCCTGGGGATATTTTTTTCACGTTAGCCAAGTTTAATACTTAACGTTGTCAATTTAATGAGCTCAGTTATTTGGTGTACCAGACCCCTCTATGATTTCTAGCGTTTTAATTTTGAGGTAAGTCTGGGAAGCAAGCTTATGCTACCTTTGTTATAGCGTTTATTACAGAGTCGGAGAATGGAGCCTGTAGCTTTCAAGACTATCTTAAGAATGTGAAAAGAGTTTCCCAAAGCTTTCGTCATCATCTAATGTGGACTGAGCTACCAGAAGTGGGTCAGCAGTCCTGGAACGCTCCGTGCATTTTTCATTCGAGTAATTAGATTTATAATCATAAAACATTTCCCAGTTCCTCCAGGGTTTCCAAAGGCCGAGTCCTGAGAAATGTTGGCAGGCTTCCCCACCCTGTGCTCATGGCCTTGAACACTCATGTCATGCTCTCATCCGGGATGTGGGCGAGGGACCCAAGGGGCACTCAGTTCAGCCTCACCCCTCGTAGCGTGGTGGATGACCCCGGCGCTGTGATCCCTTTGTCAGCCATGGCTTCAGCAATGGTGGCATCTCTTACAGGGCCAGTGGGAGGAGGTGCTGGGGGCTGCAGCCTCACTCTGCCTCCTCCCAGCACTTGAAGAATTCTCTCTGGACCTCGTTTGCTGCCTGACTATCCACCCAGGATCTTCTGTATCACAGTGCGATGCTGTTAACCTGCTGCCTTCTGAGAACATTCAACAAATCCTCAGTGGCCACGCTCAGTCTGCTGCTGGCTCTCTGACAGCTCTCCCTCCTCAGCCCCCTCCCCTTACCTCATTTAAGAACATGTCTTTCAGTGAGCATTGTTTTATTATTACCCTCTGACCTTATTTACTCTCTCCACCTTTACAAATTTTTGAATTTATTATTATTATTTTTTAAGGCAATGTTCATTTTGTAGCCCTGACTAGCCCAGAGCTCACTATGTAACTTAGGCTGCTCTTGAACTCATAGGAATCCTCCTGCCTCAGCACCCCAAGTGCTGAGGATGCTGGGATTATAGGTGTGAGGCACCATACTTAGCCTTTTCTCTGCCTTGTTTTCTGCCTCTTTATCTTACAGTTTCTGCATCTTCATAATTAGACAAGTTAGAGGAGCAAAGGTTGTGAAATGAGATCTGTGAGCACTCATCTCCAACAGAGGTGAATGCTTCATTAGTGGTTCACATTGAATTCTCTCCCCGCCCTTTGGGCACTTGAGTTTTAAAAAAACCCTTGCATGTTAAGCACCCATAGCCTAGCTCTGTCTCTGCCGTCCTGCTTCAGGGCCAAGCCCTAGGCCCTTCCTTAGTCTACTGTTCCCAATGTTGCTCTGCCCTACACCCCATAAATCCCCATTCACTGGAGTTCCTTTATTCAGTGTGTGTCATAGTCATAGCAGGTTAATAAAAAAGTCACTATGGGGTTTGTCCTTACTTCTGGACTCTATACTCCTCAAGAGCCACGTTTACAACCTGGCTACCTTCAAATGTTATATCAAAAAGTGTTTTTACTTTCTGTGTGCATGTGTGTATATGTGTGAGGGAGGTATGTGCACATGAATGCAGGTCCCTGCAGAAGCCAGAAGAGAGCACTGGATGCCTTGGAGCTGGAGTTAGAGGTGGCTGTGTGCCATCTGAGCTGGGTGCTGGGAGTCAAACTTGAGTTCCCTGTAAGAGCAGCATGTCCCCAGTCCTGTAGGCACCTTTTCCACACCCTCTTCCTCAGGACCTGACTAGCAAACACGGATAAACTTCACAAAGAGTAGCTGGCATGAACTTGCTTCCATCCAGATGCAGCATAAAGACCTTCAAAGCGTTGGGGAGAAGATGGGCAGAGATGGAGGGAGAGGTGGGGGGGGGGAGGAAGGGGGAAGTAGGAAAGGATAAAGATAAGGGGAGAGAGAGAGAGAGAGAGAGAGAGAGAGAGAGAGAGAGAGAGAGAGAGAGAGAGAGAGAGATCCAGATATCCAGATCCTGGCCATGGAATCATAAGAAGCATCATATGCACATGTTCAGTGTCTTGAGAGCTTGCTCTTGTGGGTAGAGAAGAGAATGAAGGTGCAGTGGACTCTGTGGACTCTGAACAGACATGAGGATGCAACAGGAAATCATGTGTGATGCAGTGACCTGGGACAGAGGAATCTGAGCACTGAAGAGGGGGCGGGGCCTGGGGAGGAAGGGAGGGCCATGGAAACAAACAGAACACAGGGGGCAGCTTTTCTAAAGCCTGGGCTACCACAGTGTTTACTGTTCCAGGAAGGAGGCCCTTTGAGAGTGCGGCACACTGGTAATAGCTGTGCTCAGAAAATCGGGCTTATCACAGGAGAATCCACAGCACACCCTCCTGACATCTGGTCCCATGCCTCAGCCCTGCATGTCACCTCCTAACAGAGCGGCCCTTGTTCTCTCAGGCAGATACTTGCTCCTTCCAGGCAATGTTGGGTTCCCCAAGGCTCCCAGCAGAGCCTGGGCCTGAAGGGCTACTTCATTACTGTCCAGCATCAGCCACTGAGATGATGGTAACAGAAATCCAAGGAGACATGAGCACAGTGGAGAAACCCAGGACCCAGCTTTGCAGCCACCTGGCCGGCCTGGCTTCTGGGCAGATGTTAGGACTGGGTCAACTCTGCAGCAGTGGAAACCCAGCCTTTCCATCACAAAAGCAGCTCCAGCATTTTCCTCTCAGCAAAGGAGATTGCCAGTGTGTCTGGGATCCTGTCAGCATTGCCTCTCTAGACCCGCAAGACGCCCTACATGGAGTATCCAGAGAGCAGTTGTGGGGTGTCAGGTTTCCTGGGTTCTAAAACTCGATCCAAGCTCTTTAGAGGAGGAACAGAAGGAGTTCAAGGGTATCCTCTGCTACATAGGAGTTTGAGGCCAACCTGGGCTACAGGAGACCCTGTCTCAAAACCAACCAACCAACTAAAATAAACAACCAAAAAAAAAAAAAAAAGAAAAAGAAAAAGAAAAAGAAAAAAATGCAATCAAAAATTAATTAATTAATTGTGGTCTTTCATTAACACTGACCAACAAAAACATATCCATTTCCTTCATTTTAAAACCGACAAAAACAGGTCAACAAGTGAGAGTTTGTAGTTTACAAATAAGATCTCCAACTGGATCATTTGGGAGATTGACAGCACTGTGGCTGGTGTGTGCCATGACTTGCATTAAAAATTCATTATATCATGTATGAGGGCACATGTATGACAGTGATCTCTGTGAAGGGCACATGTATGACAGTGTCTCTGTGGAGGTCACATGAATAACAGTGTTTGTGTGGAGGGCACATGTATGACAGTGTCTGTGTGGAGGTCACATGTATGACAGTGTTTATGTGGAGGGTACATGTATGACAGTGTCTGTGTGGAGATCACATGTATGACAGTGTTCTCTGTGGAGGTCACATGTATGACAGTGTCTGTGTGGAGGTCACATGTATGACAGTGTCTATGTGGAGGTCACATGTATGACAGTGTCTGTGTGGAGG